GGGGACGCGACGCTTTTCCTTTCTTGAGCCTTCTTCCGCGTATGAGTCCTCCAATAGTTCTTTATTTCATTATCAGTTCGCCCCGGTAATTTGCGAGCAATTCTTGACCACCTGCACAAGATTTTGTACCATAAAAAATACTTACTGATATGAACAGCACAATCAGGATTCCGAGGACAAAACGAGATGGTTGTTAAGATTTATACTAAAACTGTACAGGGTATATAAGGGAAGTCACAAGGTGAGGTTCAGAATCCGAGTGTAAATTAGAATCGGAAAAGTTTTCAGTAATATAATATCTGATGATCACCATGGAGGCGGAGCAATAAACAGTAAATAAAAGAATGGATTGTGAAGGGAAAAAAAAAGAAGGGAAACTTCCGATCCTATTTCAAACCTATTTCCCCATCTGGCGTGAAGTTCCAGGACAAGTCTTTCTTCTTGAGGTGTCATCTTTCCTCTTTTAAGACCAGGGTGGAGATAATTAACCCATCGCAACCTGCAACTTTTTCCTGTTCTGTTCAAACCTACAACAAAACCAGGTGGTTAAAGGTGGTTCCTTTACAAATCCACCCATCGCCATATATGCATACCTATATTTGTCTCCCGCCACCTTCAAACCTGATACTTTTGCTATAAAATCCCATCGTCGATCACCAAATAGGTTCACGAAGTTGATCAGTAGTATGTCCTCCTGTTCTGTCCAAGGACCCTTTCGGGTTTCGTCTGGCATCATTTTCATTTTTCTCCCTTTTGCTTTTTTTTTTTCTCTCTGTCTCTCTCCGACCTTTAGCACACCCACTTACTGGTACTTGGGGAGATCTAGTTGTAAACTACTCTTATTTATACAAGCAATTTACCACTAGTGGAAGACTAGGCGACAAGTTATAGTTATTATGATAATCATCATTTTGCAATCTTCACCCTACATTTGGTTTGCGCATGCTCCTTCTCTGATATGCACCTAATGCATTTGATGTCAGCCACTATAGGCAACAGCCAGAGTAAAGTATTTGATATGTTGACGTAACTTTCAACAGCAATTGTTCTAATATCAATTGCTAAATTATCACAGCACTCTATGTTTCTCTCGTGAATTATGCATTTCATAGTAAGTAAATAGGAGCATTGATTTTCTTTTCCGATAATTTATACAGTCAGAAATTGATGCCTGTTTCTGTGCATGTGCGCAAGCCAACTTGGAAGCAGAGTCAAGAGTTCTTCGTGTAAATATTTGAAGAAGTGTTAGCCATGGATTATACTGTGTTTTACTTTGTCTACGGATTTGAAAGTGTTTGGTTAATCAACAAGGATTACAGTAGCTTTGTATGCATCCCTCTTTAAGAAACATTTATCATGGAAAAATATACTTTATAGCTTTTCTTGAATATAAATTTTCAAACCACCAAACTCCCATAATCATGTTGTAATAATTCTTGCTTGTTATAAAGCGGTGAAAGGAGTAATAGGCGTGAAAGAGAACGACTCCGCAAAAGGAGGGCGACCTCAAGATATGAGTGGATATAAAAGGGAATACCCTTGACATTAGCGAAGGCCGCAGATATGGAGGCTCTGCTTCCTAGAAGAAAAGGAAAAGGATGAAGAGGACAAGCCTTGTAAAGCAGGGAAGAGGAAGGAACTGTTTTGGTGTCATGCATGTGGGTGCCCACCTCTTCAATAAAAGTGTGGCCGGAGGGAGATGTTACTATAGACAACACTTTTTTTATGCATAGCGCTTCAGCTTCCTCGATCCAACATAAGAATTTGGCTAACACAAGTTGATATGATTCCTTCAGCAGCCTTACAGTAAAGATTATCTTAGTTAGACATTTTCAAACTCATAATTTAAAGAATCTCTCTTTTTGGTACCGTGTGCTAATAATAAATCTGCTTGCGAGTAAATTTGTCAAGCAAGATTGGAAGGGCGGAGGCATCCTATGAGATTGGTGTGCTCTAACTCAGATATTATAAATATTTTTTAATTATTTATATATAAAAAAATTATAATTCTCAGTTGAATTATTAAAAAATTTTAAAAATTTACATGGAGCCTTCTAATATAATATTTTAGATTTGATTAAAATTTCAAAAAAAAATTTAAAAATTAAAAATTTAATAAAAAATTATAATTTAACAAGTTTTATATTATTTAACATAATTTTTTATCTAACTATTAGATTGAGCTAACATTTTATAAAAGATCTTAAAATATATTGAATAAAATCTAGTTAAAATTTTAAGATGAATAGAACTTAGTAGTGCTATAAAAAAAATCATTAAATAAAAGCAAAACGTCTTATTTAAGGTAAAATGATTATTTGTTATTAAAAAACAAAATAAATTAGCTCTTTATATATATATATATATGTGTGTGTGTGTGTGTGTGTGTGTGTGTTGCTAAACGGGCAGAAGTAGAATAAAAAAAAAAGCTAAAGAGAGAGAAAGAAAAGTAAAGAAAAAATATAAAAAAATCTAAAAACAAATTAAAAAAATAAGAGAATAACCTTATAAATTTATAAAACAATAATATAAGAAAAAATCAAGTGAAGGGATGAGGAATTGAGAGGGAAAAGGTTTAATTATTTTGTTTTTCAATTAATATGAGATTGTTATTTTATCTCAGTTGAAAATTTTTTACAATATCGATTTAGATTTAATTGTCAATAAATTATGTTTTATAAAACATTAAAAAATATAATTTTAATAGTGAGTTTATTTTTATTTTCACTTAAATTTTATGTTCTTTCAAATTTATTTTTTTAATATCTTAGATAATATATTTGAATTAAAACTTTATGTTAACTTTAAAAATTCATAGATATAAATTAATAATTAATCTTAAAAAAACATTAGCAATAGAACTTACATTATAAAATCTGAACATTCACTATGATGTTCATAATTCTAAATAATAGTGGGATATTAAAGAGGCAAAAATCTGCTAGCATCCCTAACATTTCTTATCAATTCTCATATTTTTCAATAAATATTTTGTCTTGGTGTTATATCAGCGTATCAGGCACATGCACTGGCTATTTAGAATTCTTTTTTCGAACTTGGTATCTGTCTCATTCTCTGTTTAAAGGTCAAAGAGCCTAGCTAAGGGAAACTTATTTTTAAGATCCTAATTATTATTAAAAAAAAAAACACTAAAATTTGATGATAGGAATCAACTGGTCTGAGTGAGCCTTTGTCAAAATTTATTTTTTCCTTAAAAAAAAATAGTTGAATTAAATTGAAATGATATCTTGGCTTTAACATTTGAGAACTAGGATTTTTTTTTTAATGTTTTTCAGTTTCTATATCATTTTGATGTTTTTTTTTCTCCTGAGTCTCCCCGGGGCTCGAGTCGTTTTGCATAGGACAATTCAAATAATTGGAGGCTTGTGGTTTATAATTATGATTATTTTTAAAGTATTTTTTTTATATTAAAATATATTATAATAATATTTTTTATTTTTTTAATCAATGTATCAAAACAATTTAAATTCTAAATTTTTTGAAAACAAAATTTATCTGCGTTCGCAAATGCTATAAGAGGATTGCTACAATGCAGGGGTTTAACATCAGCACAATATCAAAGCCTATATGGATCGTTGAATTTAAATAAAATTACAAATTGTCGATATAGATGTGTTGCCGCCGCCTACGTGGGCATTCTAGACTTTCAATATTAACTTAAAGATTTAAACCAAACTCATATTGGTTTTTGCTAAAATGGAATTGAAGTACTAATGAAGGATTTTTTTTTTACATCATAGTTTTATATTAAAAATTATAACTTAATTCTTCATTTGATAATTGAATGAGACCAAAAATTTTCTAAAAGATTTTAGAAACCTTCTTCTTTTCTATACAGTTAAAATTTCATAGCATTTAATACCCATAAGACCTTCAAATAAATCCTAAAACTTACCAGTAATGATTTGCTACATTTTATAGTTAATTAGGATTTTCTTTTTTATTTGGTTTAGAAATTTTTTATTATTTTTTCAACTTTGTTTAGGATATTTTCTTATATATAAATAGAATTATTTATTTTTTATTTTAGAAAAATAATTGAAAAAATTAATAATAAAATTTCAAATTAGAGTTTTTTGTATGTAGATCCTATTTGTAGAATTCTATGTTTGAAGAAAAATAAACAAAGAAATAAAAAAAATTTCAATCTTATTATACTTGTTTGATATCAAAGTTCAAAAATTATTGATGATAAGTTGTTAAATAAACATGGCTAAAAAAGATAGTCGCGAAACATAATATTTTGTGTGGAAAGGGATGTGAAGGATAATTATCACTCAGGAAATAGACATCAACGAACTAGTAATATAAAATAGTCAAAAGAAATTACAAAATTAACTAGTTAACTAGCTCTAATAAAAGTGCAGAAATAAGTTGAAGATTTATCATGTTAATTAAAAAAAGATGAAGAAGAAAAAATTGGAGGAAAGTAATCACGAATCCATAATAAATTTTTAAAATCTATTGTACAGGCATAAGCATATAAGATAGTTTTTTTATCAAAATAAATATAATAAAAATTAACAAGTAAATGTATAACATATATCTTATTGGTGATAATATAAAAAATAAAAGGATGTTAGTTATTATAATATGCGGTTGAGTTTCGAGCTTGAGAAGGTTGTGGAAGAGTTGTAATAGTGATATTAGTGAGGATGAGTTTGATATAAAAGGTTGGAGATTATTTATTGGATAGCCATGAGATACAGTTAAAAACAATTTAAAATTTATAATAAGTTCTTTGAAATTAATATAAAAAAATCCTTTCCTAATATATAAATTTATGTTAACGGTCAAATTAATTTGGTCATAATTTTGTATTCGATTCTTAAATTATTCTACAAATTTTTTAAGAGATTTTAAAATATTTATTTTATTTTATATATAATTAAAATTTTATAACGAGTTAGTTCAGTGAATCCTTCAAATGAGACCTAATTTTTTTTTTGTTTCTATATAAACATAGTTGTTTAACTTAATGTTTTAGAATAGTAATTAAAAAGGAAGTATTTAATAATCAAATTTTGAATTAATATTTTTGTGTGGTGATATTATGCGGTAGAATTCCATGTTGTCTTTTCCTGATTTGTTTATGTCTTCATTAATTACTCTACATAAATTACCTTAAATCAGAGGAATGATACGTGCCTTAAAAATCAAGATGATCCTATTTTTGTTCGAAGTCAATGCATTTGTTTATCTTTCTCCCAAATCGAATTGAATAAGATCAGATTCGTTTGATTATGGAAACCACCAATCTGTGGTCACTCCACTTGAATTTGAATTCATTTCCATCTCTCTCTCTCTCCCCCATCCTCTCTCTCTGTTTATGTATATTGTATATGTGCATGCATACAATCCATACATGGCTAGGTTAGAAAGTTTCCTTCGTCTAACCCCATAAAATGTTCTCGTACTAGATGTTTAGGTTTGTTTGAGAATTTAGATCCATGTTGGTTTTGCTTGGTTTCTTGATTCTTCTCTCTACTTTTTTTTTTCTTGATTTTCTTAACTGGGTTACAAAGATTGAAGTCCGTTTTAATTTCTCGGTTAAATATAAAAACTAAAAACAATATGCTATTGAGTATTAATGCGTGCGGACCAGGGTTCAAATAAGGATATACTATCTGCTTTATGGTCTCAGTTCGAAAGGGATATTGCCATGCGGAAACAGCTATACATCACTGATAATATATATATATATATATATATTGGCATGATAACAAGATATATTTTTGTCAATTTCCATTTCCTATGCTCAGAGACAGACAAGGATTAACATGGGAAAGGGACACTATGATAATATAAATATAC